GAATGCTTGAAAACCTTCTTCTAAAATCGAAACTGCTTGTCCGGTTGTCTCATCATACTCGTACAGTGATTCGTAGACAGCGGTGTAAACAAAAACAGTTTCTTTTGAAAAAGATTGATTAGGTTCGTTTGATATTTTTCAATTTGTTTTCTATCTGTCATTTTCTTTCTTTGAAATGACAAGCGCAAAACCAATTCCAAGCGTCGGCGGGTGTGTGTGTGTGTGCGAGGAAAATTAAACAGTCAACGGTTGTTTAAGAGCTAAACTATGAGACGCGTCATTGCACAAACCAAAGCTTTGAATGAAACCCACATTATTTCGCTCAATCCGAATATGTAAACCTGAACTGTGGCCGTCTCCTGTCGCTAGACTATCACGCTTCTAGCAGTGCTTGATATGCAGTAATGGTACAACTAGGCGTGCTACGCCATGCCTAAGGAAGAGGATTCAACGATTACGACCGAGTACTCATTTAAGAATACATATTATTCATAGGTTGTGACAGCCCAAATGCATAGTATTCCTATCACCTGTCGGACAGGCTTTCTTGGTCTATAATGTTTGGAGGTACAGAAAGTGGTTGGAAAAAGGCCGAATGAGACGAGTATTACGAGCTGGCTTGAAGCAATAAAAACCTTATACACTGACAGAGTTATTCATGGTCTGAACTTGACTTGGGATGAAGGTAAAGCAATATTACTGAAAATTGTGTAACACTTTCCTATCTCATCTGGGGTGGGCGGGGGTGGTTCCGCTTTGGAAACCAGCACCCATGCATCCAACAGTAGATAGTGTTTGTCAATTCACCTGCTATCAATCCAAGCTGTCAGGGTGCCCAGAAATATGAAAACCAGGCAGATGTGAACCATTGAGGGTACCCCACCTGACAATCGACAACAGGCAGTGACAGAGGGGGGGGGTGCATCTAAATCAATTGGTCACATCCGTATCAGTATTCAAATTATGTACCGCACTTAGTTCCGTTGTTCGATTCATTGTTGAAATAACAATAATGAACAATATGATAGAATTTGATTTAATTCATTTGAAAATATATTGACACGGAGAGTAAAGGAAGAACTAACTGGAGGGCTAAGTTTAATAAGTGATGTAAAGCTAAACAAACCTTGATTTACAGAAACAAACATTTCTTAGCTGAGGTATTTGAAAACAGTCTGTTCAACCTGAGAAGAATGAAACAACACAGCTACTATCAACCGTACGGTTCAGCGGGGAATAATCTTTATGAATGCAAAATAACAAAATAACTGAGAAACCCAAAAGACAAATATAGAACAACTGGGGAAGATAAGGGAACAGGTAAAGCTTCAAATTTGGAAAACATTTTCCACGTGGCAATACTAGCTTTAGATTGATTTTGGTTATTTGAGTCAAAGATACAAACAGTTTTCGGTCATCCGAGCTAGTATTCACCTGTGCCTTACTAGCAGTTTGAACTCGTTAACTGAATGCAACAAATCCATTAGGTAATTCAAACTAACCTTGATCTGAAGGCATATCAACAACAGACACGATTCGTTCAATTTGATTAATTGTTGAAGTCCCAGGAAACAAGGGTTTACCGGACAACATTTCGCCCAAAATGCAACCGAGACTCCACATGTCCACAAATTTTGTATATCGACTAGATGCAAGAAGGATTTCCGGGGCACGATACCATCTTGTGGCAACGTATTCCGTCAATTCCGGATCACCGCCGTTTAACGGAGCATCACTGAATGATTCCACGGAGCCACGAAATGCACTTGGCATCCCGGTAAGTGAGCGTGTCAGGCCAAAGTCACAAACTTTAACCAAGCAATCGGAGTTGAGTAGGACGTTTGAGGGCTGGTTTATTGACAGCGATAAAAAAAGTCAATAAACCGATAAGAAAATAGATGCAGTTTTCCAAAACAATACAGCTAAGTAAATCCGAGGCTAAACGTTCGCCTTCTCCATAAGAACCGCTTAAAAATTCGGCATTCGGTAAGAGTAAACATATAATAGCGCGATGAATAACGATCGCAAATACGACGATCTTTTTGGAAACACGACATGCTTATCGACCGGAATAATTGATATCAGAAATGGGTATCTCTGCAAATAGGATTTATTCAATACATTGCATATGATGACTTTGAGAGCATATTAGGTCTCATAAAGAAATGCGAAGATTGTTTGACAGATATCGAAAGCAACGTATCAGATAAACCTTTTATATTCTCATAGACATCACTTCCATGCTCTAGTCAGGTGAGAAAAATTCTAAAACGAATTATGTTTTCAATAATTTTCAGTCTTTGTTAATCCCAGGCACAGGTACTTTCAATCTCCAATGGGAAGTTTGTACGTCAAAGGCGCTAAGCATATCCCATTTTAAGATACTGAACGTGATATGAACCAAATATTTTGACCATATCAGTATTTTATCAAAAAATAAGGAGATAAAGATGTGTTTTTGTAGTCAAAGGCATGCTTGAAGACTTAACCAATTCACCTCCATTTTAATCAGCATATGACGTTTTCTCAAAGTTATAGTCTACAGGAAAACGGAGGTAAAATGGTGAGGCTAACCATTCGAGTTGTATTTTTGTGTAAGGGAAACAGTTGGTGTTTACTCACCGCGAGAGCAATCGCTAGTCCGAGGGTGAGTAAATTACTCAACAGATATATTGCTTCTCTTGAACTTGCAACGGCACAGATACAATAGAAAACCAGGGTTAGGATGATAACGTTAGCTATTTTACACAGATGCATTCATATATATATCTATGTATTTTGATCAAATGACATAGCCAAACTGGTATGGTCCGCTGTTCGTGTTGAACTTGCCCTTGTATCATACACATCAGTGTTACAAACACAAACCATTTAGTGACACAACAGTGCCGTATTGCTGAATTGAAACAGATTCTGGTAATTTTATGTACATTTTCATCAATTAACAATTTTTCAACATTTCTATACACAATTTTGAATGGTGTTTGTTAATGTCTACACATAAGCAATAATCTGGTAGACAAGTTGATGTCAAGCTAATTTAGTTCTTCTCTGCGAAATCTGACCTCACTACATGGTAACCAATAGTTTATAAAACTGTTGAAAAATCCAACCGAATTGATACAGATAAGAGAGGAAAAAGTAATACAGGCAATTCAATGATGTGACAACGAGCATTTATGGATTGTAACACAAAGCCAAGATTATCCAGAGTAAGTCTTATCTCAAATACGAAATGTATAACTAATATCGGAATACAGTAGTAGAGTAGTTTGAATTATTTTCCTGTAATTCTGTTACACGCATAATTTTCATTGCGGCTGAATAATGCTCAAAGGTAACTTAAAATTCTTGTCAACTGCTTTATTCTTTTTTTAATAGTCAGCAGTTAGAATTATCCTTATGTCCATGTTGTGACTTGAACAGCGTAAAATTGGTTTCAGAACAGCTGATGATAAACATCTTGAATATACGGTTATCTCAAACATACACGATACACAGAAGCGTCAATCACATAATTTCTCTATTATAGTTCCTTGAATCTTCTTCACATCTCCTTGTTTAGTACAATGATGAATTCAGGAAAATTTAAAACTAAAAATACATTAATTACGCCATAGTGTTCCGTATTGCGTGGAGAATTCATTCACGTCAAGTGTATTTGTTTTATGTTCTAAGCATAAAAAAACACTTTATGACATGAACACATTTAAATGACTCTTCTGTTGCGCCACCATCAACCAGATTATCATCCCTTCAAACCACTTAGACGTTGTAATAATTGATTCGCTAATAATTTACGTCATCCCAAACGCGCTAAACCATTCAACTATTCTTAGATATTTGGAACTCCATAATTTAAAGCTAGAGATAAACAGCTGGTATCTGGACACATAATGTTATTCATTATGAGAAAAAATAATGTAGTATCTCTCCAGGTATAAAAAATAGTAAACCAATAAGAATATTTTCTTAGTCATAAAGCCCCGTTGCTCCTGTATTATTGGATGGTCTAGTTGTTGTAAAGCCTTGCCTAATCGAACACTACAACAACCGGTATGGAGGCAGATTATGGTTGGTCTGTCTCCGGTTTGAAAACGCTTTAGCTGATCCTTCATCTCGCGCTGAGATACTGAGGAAGAAAAATAAACTTACAACAATCATTAAACGTTTTCCGACTTTTTAATTCAACTTATTGAAAATGTATCCAAAGCTCCCTATGAAGCCCCTTTGGTGTTATGTGGGAACTTTGCATACATTCTTTCAAATAAATATAAAAATTAAAAGGAATAAAACCTCGACATTTTGAATACTATATCAAAAATTGCTTGGTTATATTTATTACAGTTGCATTATTGGCTCATAGTTTGTTAAACAATCAAATGTTTTCGCTCATTTGTTGGGTGTCATCCGTCATAATTCCTCACACTTGATTGCAGTCTGCATGATTCCTCCTAATAGCCCACAATAAAACGTCTTTGAGCTAATGTGCCAACCACTGTTTCATCAAAGCTACTTACGAGGCCGGAAGAGTATGAATGCACATTATCAATAGGTCAATCAATAGAATTTTAAAGTATTCATTATTTTTATCAAACTAACGAAATTTATAATTTGAAGAAGAATAACGCTGTTAATTAACATGAAAAATTGTTTCTCACAATCATCAAAACTCAATTCCTAGAAGAGAATCCCAAATATTGCGTAATATACCCCAAAACGTATCTTTATTCATGCTTTAAAATATTTATTTAATAGATAACTCATCATATCAGTGTATGCAGGAGCTATGCACTTGAATATGTAAGACATTCCATGTTTACACTCGTGAAGCGCTGTATAGGTACTAGAATCGATTGTTATGAAGCTAACAGCAAATATAAAGCTAAATTTGAAGTTGTTCGATGTGATTGCCTGCCTGCAATACTTCTTCTATATCTTAGAACGCGCGCGTGACTTCCTAGTGTCTATTTGCTCCAGATGGACAAAGATACTCGTGATGGTCTTATACGTTTATTGGCGTATGGTGATATTATACAGTACGGCACACGTGCTTATGTGACATCTAAGCTGTGCAAGAAAATAAATGCTGTAGAAAAGCGAAGGTGTGTTACGCCTGTTACAGTGGGCCGAAACAGGAACTAGTTTATATATTCACCTGAGGGGAAAACCGTGCACAGTAAAATATAAGCAGTAAAGCAAAACAGAAAGTAATACCACAGCGAGAGTCAAAGTTGATTGTGAAGAAAAGTAAACAGAAAATGTCCGTATAGACGTCTCTTTTGCCTTGTTGAATTATCATCACTACAAATTTACTTGCGTTAAAAAAAACAGGTTCTCGGTAAACCGGTTAATTTATTTTATTCTGCATCCATTTCAGAATTGCATCATAAAGAAAGTCTTTTTGGACGAAAAGCATTAAATTTCTCTGTGCGATAAGCCTAAAATGATGCTATTAGAGTATAAACAAAACATTTCGGTGGTCTTGGACACCCATTCCATGCATGGACTCCATGGAGTCCTATCCAAGTATAGTCTGAGTTCCATTCGATACCGAGTTTAGCCCCATTTGAAATCTGTTTTAGGTGCAAATAAACTGTATCCACTTATGTACCTTTCTCATATATGGATATTGTTGGTTTGCTGGCTTAAGACCACCTAGTTGGCTGCAACATTTTGACTCACTTTCTGGATGCTTGTTCACATTTACGTTTCTCTCTCTGTGCTGTGCAACCGCCGTTAAGATTTCATGGTATCAGTGTAGTGACATGCCACTTTNCACACAAAATAAGAAGACGGATAGCTCGTGACCAACGGTTTATAGGATCAGACCTGCAGTGAAAGGTTTACACGTGTAGCGATGCAGCGTGACTCACCGGGACAAGTGACAATTCCGCGGTTGAGCGTAAACAGGTAAGATGCACCCGGTAAAACAAAAGCTCGTAGCGAGTAGAAAAGAAGTCGTAGGTAAAAGGTGAAAGTGGCGTGTCACTACATCAGCCGTTGTCTTTTTAAAAAGACAAACAATTGGTTCGACGTACGTATTCACGGAAACCATTAGTCTAGATACTAAAGACCGAGATGAGACATGAATAGGAATCGAATAGCACTCGAATAGAACTAAAATAAGACATATGTACGGTACGGCAGAGGACGCATAATACTTCAGGACTGAACATGTGCACAGATTCACACAGTTATTCAAGTGTGTTGAGAAATTACCTTCAAATCCCGATGAATAACATTCGCAGAGTGAATAAATTTTACCGCACGCAAGAGTTGGTAAAAAATGTATTTTTTATGCACATCTTTTAAAACATCTCCTTTTCGTATGCATTTGTGTAGATCAGATTCTAGAAGGAGTAAATTTTTAAAGAACAAAATCACCCATGTTTTCGAATACCAGGTAAATATCTTTATTATTGTCCGCCTTGATCACATTTAAAAGTCTTATTATGTTCGGATGTCCAGCAAACTCTTGTAAAAATGTTATCTCTCTAAACGTTCTCTTCATACAGGAATAACCATAATCAGAAAAGACTTATAATACCTGTGCGTCTGTTTGATTTCTGAAAGCATCGAAAATTTTTTTCAGGGCGACAGTAGCACCATTCTTTTTGTTTCTTGCGCGCCACACTATACCATAAGCCTATGAGCTCAGTGCAAAAGATACGAATAATAAATACCCCTTTTCCAAGACGCTTTAGTATTTCATAATGTTTGAGAATAGCTGCTTCTATTTCACATTCAGACATTTAGATCAGGTGAAAAGGCGTTCGTTTTAAATTTCCGCACGAAATATTAAACTATAGCAACTGGTTAAAACAAATAATCAAGCAAGATAACAGATGTTTCGTAAGCTCATAATGTGAGCTGAAATCAATTGAACATTAACTAATTACAATATTTGGTCAGCTTTAAGTGTCAAACAAGTTAGGTGTTAAAGAATTATGATGAAGGCAAATCTCTTAAAAGGTCTTGAAGTCTTGAAATCTTGAAGTAACTCTCGGGTTCGAGGCTGGCGCCCAATGGTCCCACATATCCCACTCATTTACAAGTAGGGGGTTGTGTGGAATCACTGATTCTCTTCTATCACTCATTTGTAGCTTTCTCTCACCGCACTTTTACTGTAAGAGTTAACGGTGCACTATCTGAACCTAGCCCTATTACAACCTCAGGAATCTGTTCTGGATCCTCTTCTCTTCCTTTTTTATATTAACGATCTACCTAGTGCATTATTCGCAGACGCAGCTATGTATGCAGATGATCTCGCTATCTGGGGCACAGATACACGCACGCTACAAGCATCTATTGATGCTGTTAAGAACTGGTCCGTTGAATGGAATCTGGCCATCATTGATGAAAAGTGTTCAGTTCAGTTCAGTTCAGTTTAGTTCAGTTCAGTTTAGTTTAGTTGCACAGGACGAATATGGCTCTTGCCAATCGAGCGTCCAGTTCGTTGTGTTGTCGGCGGATGGGAGTAGCTTCCAACACTGCGTACAGTTGATTGGGTATTTGTGATCCTCACACTTCAACCCCGTGTCCAGAACGTTGTCTCCTTGGAGGTATGCTGAAAGGGAGAAAAACAAGCAGGGATATCTCTTCGCTTCATTGGTTAGAGACCTCAAGACACTTGCGCTAGTATACAGCTTACGTGTGACAGGATAATCAGGTTTTTAGAACAATTTCAACACTCAAACCCAAGTTTATATCATTTCACAACTTCTGGCTAAAGTAGAATTTACTTTTAATGTTCCCAGTCTAAGTACTAACTTCGGGGAACATTTCTGACCAACATGCGCCCAGTGCCACCTTGAAGGTGTTAGCATTAACGCAGTTGATCACTTCTGCGGGTAACCTGTTCCACATAGGTATGACCCTGTGTGCGAAGAAGTTGGACCGTACTTCTAGCCTGGCGTGGTTCTGTTGAAGTTTATAGTTATGACCTCTCGTGTTTTGAGCACGAGCAATCGTAAACAAGTCATCTAGGTTGAGTCCCGATAGACCTCTTACAATTTTACAAGTCTCTATCAGATCTCCCCTTATTCGTCTACGCTCCAGCGAAAAG